GGGTGCAGCGATCGTAGAGAAGTTCCTCACGAACTTTCGGTAGTAGTTAACCAATCCTAGGAATTATCGTAACTCAGTCAGCGTTTGAGGAGTTGGCCAGTCTCTAATCCATGCAATCTTGTTGTCCTCTGGTCGAATGCCGTCTCCGTCTAATATGTGGCCTAAGGAAAGGATCTCGGTCTTGGCCCACTCACGCTTCTTTGCGTTGACTTTAAAGTTAGACTCTCTTAATTTTTCTAAAGTCTGCCTCAGATGGCCCTCATGCTCCTCGAGGGTCTTGCTGAACACTAAGATGTCGACTAAATATACTAGCCACGACCTAAATAAGTCGTTCATGCAGCGCTGAAAGGTGGCTGGTGCGTTAGCTAGTCCAAACGGCATCACTATGAACTCGTCATGCCCATATCTTGTCCTGATCGCCAGGATGAACCCCTATCTGATGGTACCCTGACTTTAAGTCTATCTTCAAGAAGTACTTGTAGCCCTGCACTCGATCTAACAAGTCATCTATATGGGGTAGCGACTCTGCATTCTTAATCGTGATGGCGTTCAGTCCCCTGTAGTCTATACACATATGCAACTCTCCCTCTTTCTTGGGACGAATAGAACAGGTGCGCCGAAAGGTGATAAACTAGGCCTTATCCATCCTTTCTCCATAAATTCATCTAACTGTCTGCGAAGCTCCTCTAGTTCTTTGGGAGACATCCTGTAGACTGCCCCTTTGGGCGTCCTACTGCCAAGTTCTATTTCGATGCGGTGCTGGATCGGTCTTGGCACTACACCTAGAGGTGCTTCCGACAAATCTTTGTACTCTTCCAGCACACTCACAATAGTAGGATGGATCTTCTCTTCTTCTTTTGGCTTGTCAGAAATCGGCCTAACGTAGGCTACAAACACCTGCTCTTCGAGTTGCTCCTTCCTTACAAGTCTAGCAAAGGAAGAAGCGTTGAGGCAGCAATGTGCGAGGGGGTTATCTACCTTGGACTCATGGTACAAGCGGACTTGCTTGACTTCGCCTGATGGACTAGGGAGCCTGCACTCATGCTCTCTACGGTGCAAAGTGGCTCCTTCTGCCTCTCCCCAATCTGTCCCTAAGAGTCAAGGAATGAAGGACCCTTTCTACCTTTCCCTCTTTTTCTAGGCGGAAGTATGCCTTCAACGAGAAGAGTCAAGGAATGAAGGACCCTTTCTACCTTTCCCTCTTTTTCTAGGCGGAAGTATGCCTGAACTCCCTCAACGTACTCCTCGACTCACATCCTATTGTTGTCTGCAAGGATTCTGACTACAGGCTCTTTCAATCGTTGGACCTTCAAGTTGAGCTTTAACTTTTTCAGCGCTTTGCGACTAACATAGCTCCTGGTGGCCCCACTATCTATAAGGGACCCTACTCTAGCTCTAAAGATCTCTACATCTGCGAGGATTAGTTGTCCTTTCCCATCTCTCTTCATCTTGGCCCAGGCTTGCCTTCTTTCCTTCAACTCTTCAGCTAAGCCTGTGAGGGAAGCGTTTAAAAAGACTCTGACACAAGCAATCGTGGAGAACTTACTAGACGCTGGTCAGCAACCTTTGCCATGGAGATATGTGGAGTGGGAGAGACTATCTTGCACGCACGCTCAGATCCCAACGACCACCATTAGCGTGTCCCACCCACCTCCTCCCTCCTCCACCCCTCTCATTGCCCAATTGCCGCACCATCCCCTCGGCACCCAATCCGTATCCACACCTTCCCTCTCCCAACCCATCTCTACCTCATCCATTGTCACCTCCCGCTGGATGCCCACCTACTCCCAGGTCACCGCCATGTCACACCCCGCCCTCCCCCAACATCCCCCAAATGCCCTCCTCCCAACAAACCCCCAACATGACTTCACCCACCTCGTTGACGCCTCACTCACCCTCGACTTCAACGCACTCGCTACCCACGTCCCTAGTTATGGCAAAATCCCCCGCACATTTCGGGCCCACGACATTCCAACCTTTTCCGGTAACCCCAAAGAGGATGTATCTCTCTTTCTTAGCCAACTCCAACAAGCTTTCTATCTCCACACCGTCCCCGTCATCCACTGGCTACCCATAGCCGGTACACGACTCCTCGCCAACGCCGCTCGCTGGTGGCTCACCGAAGTCGCTAACTGCCAACTCAACGGCCAGCCCTCGCACTCCTGCCTCGATTCGGCTACGCTGATCACAGCCACCTTCCGCCCACAAAAGACCGTCGATGATTACATCGACCAATTATGCCGCCTTCGCCAAAATGGCCCCACTGACCGCTACATCAATATGTCCGCTCACTACCCGTCCACCTGATTGGCGACAACACTTTCATCTCCCGGCTCAAGCGGGTCTCCAACCATGAAATCACCGCCATCCTCATCCATGAGGCCACCACAACCTTATCCAATCTTCTCTCCCGCATCCTCCAAATGGACAGTCTCCTTTAAACTCACAAGGCCGCCATCCCCTCCGTCCCTTCCCGAACACGTTTCTTCCACAACATTGCTTCCGACAACACCCTCACCACCACGATGTTGGATGAGTTCTCCACACCCGACCCCGACACGGAGTCCACTTTTACCGACCCCCCATCTTTCACCCAGGAAGAAGTCAACACCATCCATCTCCTCAGGATGGAGCGCAGGAACCGCCAGGCTCGCGCATATTCTTCCACTTCGCCCCCTCGCTTAACGAAGCTCACCCCAGAGGAACGTGCCTACCTCCAAACCAACAATGGTTGTTTCCGGTGTCGTCGGTTGGGCCACCAGCAAACCAGCTGCCCCAACGCTAGCCAGTTCACTCGACAAGCTCCCCGCTCCACGAGACCTCGTCCTGTCGTATCCGCCACCCCACCATCTGCGACATCGGGACCCTCCCACACATGAACACCGTCCACTTGCATCTCGCGTCCGCGCCCCGATATCGACAACTAGTCAACCGGCCCCTCTATTGGCATCCACGATTTGTCTGCCACCCCCACCTCCGATGACACATACCCCACCGAATGACACTCAGGCGTCGCAGTTCACTCCACCTGCCCCCTCCCAACAATTTCTCTCACCCCATCGGTCCAGCTCATCAGTGGCACGTGTTCCTCTACCCTTCTCCCTAATCCCTCTCACATCACTTTCTCCAATGTTGTTGAGGAACAAGCGCGAGACGACCGGCTTGTCAGACTAGGCACCAAACAACGCTGCCTCAACAACATGATCTCCGCCGCTTGTGCCGGAACTGCCTAGTTCCAGGTCAAGTTCATATCCATCTCCCTCGGCGCATCGACAGTGAAGTTCTAGGCCCTACTCGATGGCGGGGCTAACGGCAACTTCATTACCGACGCCTGTGTCCGCAAAGCCGGTCTCCCCTCAACCGGCTACAACTCCCCGATCACCATTCGCTTAGGGGATAAGGACTCAACCGTCATCGTCGATCGCACAGTTCCCGAGGTCGCCATGACTGTTAGCTCCCTCCGCATCAGATCTCCTTCGACGTCATGCACCTCATGTGCGACGTCGTCCTGGGAACTATCTGGATTGATCGCTACATGCCCTACTCTTTCTACCCCTCTTTCGTCCGCCTCTTTTCTACTCCAAAATCTACTCTTGACACCGCGTACATTATTGCCCCTACCACCCCACCCCCCGTCTCCCCCCACCAATTCCTCCACATGTCTCGCCAACACCCTAACTCCAACTACTATGCCTCGTCATCGACCGCGAGCATCCTGAGGACTTGATTCCAACGGACAAACCCAACCAAGCCCCCCCATCCGACCCTCGCATCACCTCTCTCCTCTCAGAATTCAAGAACGTCTTCCCCAAGTCCTTGCCTGCGGCTTGCCACCCGATCGGGGTGTATCTCACACCATCGATCTCGAACCCGACCATTCCCCTCCTTGCCACCCTCCGTACCAACTCTCCGTCCCCGAGGTCGAAGAGATGAAGCGCCAACTCAATGAACTCCTTGAAAAAGGATTCATTAAGCCTAGCTCATCCTTTCGGAAGCAGCTGCCTCTTCGTCAAAAAGGCCGGCACCTCAGAGCTCCGCATGTGCACAGACTGCTGCACCTTGAACCAGATCATGATCAAGAATAAGTATCCACTCCCCCGAATATCTGAACTTCTTGATCGCCTCCGCGGAGCCAAATACTTCACCAAGATTGACCTCCGCAATGGCTTCACCAGATCCGTATTCGCGAGGAAGATACCCATAAGACCGCCTTCCGCTCTCGCTTTGGGCATTAAGAGTTCCTAGTGATGCCTTTCGGCCTCACAAATGCCCCAACGACCTTCCAGACCACCATGAACCACATCTTCCACGATCTCCTCAAAGTCTGTGTTGTGATCTACCTGGACGACATCCTTGTCTTCAGTCCCACCTTCGAGTCCCACCTTCAGCACATCGAGAAGGTACTTTCCATCCTCCGCGAGCAAAAGTTCTACATTAAGCTTAGCAAATGCACTTTTGCCGCCTCGAGCGTGGACTACCTTGGCTACATTGTCTCTGCTGACGGTATCTGCATGGACCCCTCGAAGGTCCCCGCTCTCATCGAGTTCCCACCTCCCACCACCTTGCTCCAACTTCGGTCATTCATTGGACTCGCTAACTACCACCGCCCCTTCATCTAAAACTTCTCCGACACCGCCTATCCACTCCATGAGCTCACCCGCGTCACTGAGTCCTTCACATGGACCGAACGCCGGCAAGTCACCTTCGACAAACTCAAATGCCTCATCACTACGGCCCCCGTTCTCAAGATCGCCGACCCTTCTTGCCACTTCTACGTCACCACCGACGCTTCGGACTTTGCCCTTGGCGCTGTTCTATCCCAACATTTCCCTCGCGACCCCCCCACTCTCAAAGATTCCCCCACGCGATCTGAAGCACCTCTTGGCGAGTACCCTATAACATTATCGAGTAAGAAGATCATCGCTGTTGAGATGAACTATCCCTCCAATGAGAAGGAACTCCTTGCCGTCATCTATGCCCTTAAAGTCTCGCGCCCTTACCTCGACAGCCAGTAGTTTACCATTTACATCAACAACACCGTCGTCTCCTGTATCCTCACCAAAAAGGATATCACCCCTCGTCAGACCCACTAGCTGGACTTTCTCGCCCTGTTTACCTTCACCATTTGCCATACTCTCGGCAAGAGCAATCTTGTTGCCGATGCCCTCTCTCGCCGACCCGATCATAAGCCCCCTGAGAAAGTCTTTGCTGCCATGACGCATGTCAACCTCCCCCAATCTCTCCAACATCGCTTCATCCATGGCTACACCTCCTGCCCCGACTTCGCCCCTACCTACACCAAACTCGGCGACCTTGACACTGTCCCTGACTACTTCCTCATCGACCATCTCCTCTACATCGACACCAAAGGAACTCGCCGCCTTCGCATTTCTTCCGTCCGTGGTCTCCGTACCCAGTTCTTGGCTTAACACCACGGCGCCAAGACTGCCGGACACCTTGGTTTCCAAAACCCTTTGACAATATTTCCCATTACCTCTATTGGCCCTCGCTCCTTGCCGACGTCAAAGCCTACATCCGTTCTTGCCCGACTTGCCAAACCGTCAATCCCTCCAACCAAGTTAAGGCTAGCAAACTCCAATCTCTCCCCATACCCACCCACCGCTGGCAATCTGTCCCCATGGACTTCATCTCTCGTCTCCCCACGACCGACCATGGTCACAATTGCATCTATGTCATTGTCTGCCGCCATTACCAAGCCCGCCCATTTCATCCCTTGTACCACCACTTGCCAAGCCAACGACTTCGCCAAACTCTTCTTCGGCCACGTCACCCGTCATCATGGTGTCCCAGAAAACATCATCAGCGATTGTGACTCCAGATTCCTCTCGCAGTTTTGGAGAAATCTCTTCAAGGAATACGGGACCACCTTCAAGTACAACACCGCCTTTCACCCCCAGACTGATGGCCAGACAGAGAAGATGAACGATACTCTCCAACGCATCCTCCGGAAGTATTGTCTTTCCCATCAACACGACTGGGACCAGATCCTCTCCGCTGCCGATATCGTCTTCAACAACGTTGTCTGCCCCTCCACTGGCATGTCTCCTTTCTACCTCGACCATGGCTACCCTCCTCGCTTGCCCGCTGACTTCTTGCTCCCCTCGCAGCTCAACCCATTTACTCCCTGTCCCTCTCTCAATGAATGGGTTGCCACAATGAACCGCCTCCTAAGAGAAGCCACTGAATCTATTCAACGAACTCAGGAACAACAAGCCAAGCAAACGAACAAACATCGTCGTGACGTCTATTTCCATGTTGGGGACAAAGTCTGGCTCTCCGCCAAACGTTTTGATCCCAAACAAGGCTTGTCCAAGAAACTCTCGAACAAGTGGCTCGGTCCATTCCCATCATTGAAAAAACATCCGCTGTAAATTACAAGCTCCAACTCCCTCCTGATATGAACCGCGTCCATCCTGTTTTCCATGTAGAATACTTGAAAGAATTTCACGAATCACCTCCTCAATTCTCTAATCGTCCTCATCCTCGTCCAACACCTATCATGCTCCCCACTGGTCCTGAATTCTCTGTGGAGTCGATCATCGGCTGTAGGACAACTCAAGTATCCAACCACCCCGAGCCCATCACAAAATACAAAGTAAAATGGATAGGATACTCAGACCAAGAATCAACATGGGAACCCCTTGCAAATCTTAAAAACACCATGAAACTCGTCCGTGCCTATGATCGTACCCACCCTGTCTCATAGCTATCTACTTGCCTATGCCTCGACCTGTACATACCTACTCTACACACACCACCCCTGAACCCAGCCTAACCCCTACCCTTGATCTTGATCTCTCGCTGTCTGATCCGCCCTTGCCTCAGCCTAAGTCCTTCCCATCTGTCCTCTACCACACTCTCTGTCTCTCTTGACAAATGGTTGTGGACCTGGGCGACGCCGGCGATAAAGGATCTAATAGCAAGTGCACGAGGACAATGGCCTGCTGCCTCTTGATCATGAAGATAATGCAGCTCGTTTAGCCACCATGCTGTTTCCTTGGCCGGCATCTGGACTCGCGGACTTACTGGAGCAGCGATATGTGATCTGGACCTTTGCATCAGTCTGCGATTCCCTTGCTACCGGATCTGACCTCCTTGCACTTCATGAACAGGACACACTCCAGCACTTGGGCTTTGGACACTTGTACGCCTACTTCGCTTTCCCGCAGCTTGGACATTCGACAACTACCTGTTGCAGCCGCTGAAGACCGGTTCTCTCACCTATCCTGGATCTGACCAAGATCTCTGAAGACCTCCCTCAAGACAATTTTCGCATTTTGACACTTTGTTACAGACCGGAGACTTTGTTCTTCCCAGATTCCTCAGACACACCAGCCCTTGAGCATTGAACAAACTATTATTGTTTTTCTTTTTCTCAAACCTGACAACCTATAACCTTGTAGAACATGAATAGGACTGCCCTGTTACTTGTAGAACCTCAATAGGATCACCCTGTTACTTGAACATTGCTACCCTCAACCTTGTAGAACCTCAATAGGATTACCCTGTTACTCGAGCATTGATTCCCTCATCCCCGTAGAGCATCAATAGTATTGCCCTGTTGCCTGTTACTTCAACCTTGTAGCACCTCAATAGTAAGATTACCCTGTTACTTGCATTACTCCCCCTTTCCTTTTCTGACCAGTGATCGGCCCCGTCCCGTCCTTCACGGTTGTTCAGCAGGTCTTTGGCAGCCGGGACGTTGCCTTCCAGAGGGAGGGGATAGTGTTACGGACTCAGCCAGGGCTCGATCCCTGGTCTGCGGGTTATCACCCACCAGGCTGGTATTTCATTTTTGGGTCTCTGTTCTCAGGCCCCTGACTGTTGGCGCCCTCTGCAGTTGGCGCCCGTTCTCAAATTCCTCTTTTGGGACTTTCGGATTTCAATACTTGAGCCCATCCGGCACTCTGGCGCCCAGACTCAGACCTTCGATTTTCAGTTCAGCCCTGAGGCAATTTGCACTTCTGCCCTCGGGACTGAACTTGAGTCCAGTACTTAAGACTGGACTCAAGCCCAGTACGGGGAACCAGTTTTCAGCCTCGTTGCTTGTATTCAGTGTGACTATGCTTCGACATTGTGTTCAGGCATCCAAGACTGCGACTTTGCCACTTTGTGTCTGCGTCTGCCGAGTCGTGTCGAGTCTGCGTCGAGTTGAGTGAGTGTGTGTGTGTGCTCTCACTCTCCCTCCCTCTCCCTCCCTCTCCCAGCCTCGCTGTCCTGTCTCCGCCTTGTTACACTACCATTGCTGGTGAGCCCTCCAAGGGCCTAATCACAGATAAGCAACCGATGAGAGAACAACATGCACACCAAAAAACAATGCAACAGCTCCTTCGTTTTGATTACTTGCAAACAATTGCCAACAGCCTGAAGTGTCTGCTCCCGGCGGAAGGACGAATCCGGGAGTTATAGGTAGAGCATTGGGACACCTTACGGGGTAGCTTATCAGTGTACATACATGCCGTCCATGTGGAAGGGACCTTTGGGGGGCTGGTCAGTCACGGTGTCACCACTCTGCCATACAAAAAAGGGGACAAGGCAGATATCCGCAATTATAGACCCATCAAACTCTTTCCTCTCCCCTATAAGATTGGCTCCAAAGCCCTCACCAGTACACTACTCCCGCTCATGAACCATCTCATCTACCAGGATCAGACCGGGTTCATACCACCCAGGACAAAGTGCTCCTAGTCAATAAAACCATCAAATATGCAAGACAACACAAGAGGGAGGCTGCAGTTCTGTCATTGACTTTGAAAACGTGTACGACCACATAGACTGGAACTTTCTCGACTGGTGTCTTCAAAAAATGAACTTCGGGGAATCTTTCCGGTTGTGAGTGTCCATAATGCACAGGTCAGCGGCCACCAACATTATGGTCAATGGTAACCTATCACCGCCCTTCAAGCTACAGTGATCTACCAGACAAGGGGAATCACTTGATGCCATGATCCGGGTTAATCCTGGAATATAGGGCATTGACATCCCGGAACTGGCACCCAGCCTCGCACCCGTCGCCTCTTTATTTGCCGATGATCTCACGGTCTTGATCAAAGCCACTGAGTCTTCCCTAAGGGCACTAACAAACACCATACAGACCTTCACAGAGGCCGCAAACATCAAGGTCAATCGGGGAACTAAGGCAGAGGGATCGTGGTTGAGTCCAATGGGCTCTCAACCCCCTCAAATACCCCAGGTGAACTGGTGCCCCCAGGAGGATGCAATCACAATCTTGGGGATCAGGCTTACAGCGCTCGGTTCCCCTAACGACCCTGGGCAGGATTAGTAGCAACCGCACTCAAAAGACTGGCCAGATGGGATGGCCTTCACACATTATTGATAGGCTGGGGACTCACAATCAATAATGCTGTACTCGCTACAATATGGTATAAAACTGCATTTTGAGAAATCTCGAACAAACCCCTGGCAGAGCTCAGGGCAGCCATATCTGCCTACCTATGGAAAAACGACCATGAGCACGTGAAGTGCATTAGAAGGGCGGCATGGAAGTATATCACCCAGCCCAAAAAGATGGGAGGACTGGGCATTCTTGACCCGGGGGATGACATCAAAGCGCTGATATTTACGGTAACGATCAGGCTGCTGCTGGCCACGAACGTCCCGTGCTTGCCACTGGCATACATTCAGCTGGCTCACTTGGCCCCCTCTTCTCCCCCACACCGGCCAGTCCACCCAATGAGCTGGCTAACAAACACAACCTGGTCCATTACGCTCCTCCCAAGACACAAAAGGGATGTGACCACCGTTAACAGCATCAAGTGGGACCTCAAACGTGATCCCCTCTAGACAAAGATATTACACCTCTGGCGGGAAATGAGGCTGACAAAGAAACCCCCTCCCCCCAGATGGCATGAAATATGGTGGCAACCATTGTTTGGGAACCTGCATATCTGTGATGATACCGGGCAGCCTCTCTCGTTGGCTGAGATGGGTGAGTAAAGGTCTGTTTGTGTTGGGGGACTTATGGGATATCCAGAGGGGCACATGCAAGACGGCCGAGCAGCTCCAACCAGCATTAAAACACATAAGAAACAATCAAGCAAAGCTGGACCAAATTCAAGTGGAGGTCCCACTCCAATGGGTGGCTGCCCTCAAGAGCGGCTCCATTTTACAAACAAACAACTGGGTCACAAAGGATGACAGTAATCCCATGCCTATGGGCATATTTAGAGTGCTCAGTGTGGCCGGCTAATGAAGCGGAACTAGAGGCATATGAACAGGAGGTGCCAGGAGCCAGGTGACCCCGCTTGAAGAGAAACCAGGATCTGAAATGTGGGTGCCCCAAGGACAGCCTAACCAGAATCAGAGTGGTAGCGAACGAGGACACAGGCCCACTCCGATCTGTATGCAGCCCAAAGAATGGGATCAGCCAGGCAAGTACCCACCCCTATTTAGAAATACACAGCAACAGAGGGTTACAAGCACTCGCAACGTTCCCACACATCGACCCAACTGTCCAAAATAGATGGAAGCGTGACTCTCCGCTGTCCAGAGAGACATCCCATAGACTACTTACGTGCATATCATGCCGACCTCCTCAGTGGCAGATCATACATTGTTGCATACCGTATAGGTGCAGACCAGAACAAGAACCGACCTTTCAATACAAAGTATAAGATAGCACAGCGGAAGACTTAGATACCAGTGATCCGAACAATCAATGTTGTAATGYAGCCCTGAACATACATCATCATCATCGTTTCATAGTGTGAATGGGTCTGGCGCTTCACACAGGAAGACAGCGCCAGCCCAGAACATGCACGGACGAGGAGGAAGGGGATAGACGAAGAGGAGGGGGAAGATGGGAATGTCGTCAACACCAAGTCTTCGGCACAAGCCCAAATAGTCCCTCGTCGAACTGTCTGAATCCCAAATGTCAAGTCTGGATCCAATGTCGTCAAGTCTCAAGTCACAACTCTGTCTCTCTCTGTCGTAGTCTGAGAAGTCAGGTGGCGAGAGGGTGAGAAGAGAAGGTGCACTTAGAAGAGGAAGAAGAAGAACTCTCTCTCTCTCTGTGTCCAGTACTAACCTGTGAAGTTGGCGCCTTGATGCAGGTACCACGAAGATGGAGCTGGAGCGATGGCGCCACAGGTAAGTAACACTGGCCTCCGCCAGTCTCTCTCCCACTCTGCGATCTACTACCTACCAGCGCCCAGCGCTGAAGACTACAGCTACAGCTATGGCG